TGTCACGATATCCAGACACCATTGGATGACATCAAGACTAATAGTTTTACTATTGGTGGATTCATCAATATAATCGATATGTATTTAACTTATGAATTTCATATTACTTTTTTTTACAATAAATAAAATTAGACGATAAGGAAAAGAACAAAATAGCGGAGAAGGATTGTACGTACGTAGGTGTAAATTAACATAGACGCAAGTCGTGCGGTGGCGATGGCTGGCGGGATCGACTGCGCTGATCCGAGCGACTCATGTTTTCCTTCCAGGCCACGTAAAATCAATGGAATATATTCCAACCCCATTTTCCAAAAAGTACATGTAATCATAATAAGCATCTCCTACAAGAAAAAGTTAACGTGTCCAGATTTTTGTGGCAAAGTCTCCAACCACCATGCATTTGCAAAGTTGGCTATGAGAGCAGTGCCATTTTAAAATAGAAGAGCTTCTGAAAGGTCCTCTAGACAAGAAAACCCAAGCCCTTTACTGCAGAAAAGAATGCAACCCTTTAGCTACTAAAAGTCATCTCAGCTTTCTGCGATCACCCCTCTCGAACTGTGGACACATTACTCGAATCTATACCGTGAAGGCTTGGGGCTATTTAATTTGGACTTTGGACAAAGGAATGAGTAGTGAATTTGGAGCTCATCAAATCTTTACTGAAGGAACATGGATATTCCTTCATTTGGGATTTGGCAAGCCCGACGTTGAGTCGACCATTGATGTAATTAGTTTCAGATCCTGTAATCAATTTGTTCACCTTTTTTAGGATTTGAAGTTACTTATAACGAGGAGGGATTGTGCATTTTCTTAATATTTTATCAAAAAACATGTAGATAACTAAGTCAGGAACTCACGCAGACAGACATACTTCATACTAATTATTTTTTTCCATACTTAATTATTATTATTATTGTCATTATTATATTATGATGGGAATCAAAGGGTGACAAATCTATCTCGTTTCTCATAATTACCCAACAAACTCATGAACTGAGTGGGTCGGATATTTACTATACAATCAAAGACCGCCAAAACAAAATTTCCTCTCAAAGCAACAAAAAACACAAAATCAAACAATCGTGCCAACCTGGATATCTGATCACTTGAACCGCCTTTTGATGAACTTAAACATATTATCATCTTGGAACAAATACGAAATAACAAGCTAATCAAACTGCAAGGATTTTTTTCAAATCCACTCACTCAGTCACTCTCCGCTAACAATCTTACTTCCCAAACAAACCCTAGAACAAAAAAGAAAGAAAAAGCTAAGCAAATGATGGGCTCCTTTTGGAAATTGAAAGCTGGGCTGGAGGGAGGAAAGGGGGGAAAAGAGAAAAGCTTTTGTCACGAAGAAGCGTCCATACTCCATATCCTACGAGTGGCCTGGAGTCGAGACAATAATAAGACACAGATATAGAGATAGATGTACTCATGACAACTACTGGAGTAGAAAATAGTATTGGACCATGCAATGCAACTGTGGCAATGACTTTGATTTAGAGGACCACTCCACCAGCCAGCTGTTTTAAACACCAACAAAAAAAAATTAGTTTAGTGGTAATATTATTGTTCCTGAATTTAGATATTCGACGTTCAAATGTTCGAGAATTATCTCGTTTTTTTTATGCATATCACAAACTCCAAATATTTCATGCGACCGACTTGGCCTCGCTACGTACAAGATCGTAAAACATTGCTAGACAGATCTAATTTAAAATCGTCTCGCTCGCTCGCCCCAACTCGAGATCATCCGACTTTGTTCATGGAAATGCGAGTAAGTTGGGAGACAAAGAGATGCCCTTATGTATACATAATGAGAGGTGCAATTAGAATGGGCAAGTTAAGTTGAGTAACCAAAAAGGGCAAGAACTCACGTAATTTAGATTGGTGCGTGTGCATGGTGGGAAAAGTGAAGGTTGTCGTCACTCAAAACCTTTTGCTTGGGTGAGTCTTTAATTTTATAGATGCTTTGGTCACCATATCTTCTTCTCCACTTCCATTCATTTTCTCAATATATATTGATTCCTTCCTTACTTCTTCCCTTTCCCATTTCTTGTTTTCGTCGATCACTTTCATTTTCGGGTGTCTCTATGCGTAAGCTTAGAAACAACGCGCATGCACTAGCCTAGGCTTTTCTTTTCAGTGTCTCCTTTAAGCTTTTGTTACCACATTTTTATGGCCAGATATGTCGTCCGGATGCAAAAGCTAACACCCGTTCTCATCATATAAAAAGTATCTACTCTAATACACACTTCGTAAGAATAGAAGTCCGGATTAACCAATTGTTGTAATGATTTACGCGTGTCTATCGTCATCATGCAAGGGTTCCCACGAAACGCTCTTAATAGTAGTTACCACAAATTAAGTAGAAAGTAAGCCTAGTCAACTTCAAAAACCTTTATATTATCAGGACATGGAACTGTGGTTCTATGCAATTCATTGAAAATGAGTACAATTATCACATCCTCATATGACATGTTACCTATGTCATATGACGTGCTTTGAGGCTCCATACAACCAAGAACACCATCCTTATCATCTCTCTCTCTCTCTCTCTCTCTCTCTCTCTCTCTCAATATGTCAATACAATAGCCGATACTGGTCCTACCATCTCATATCCTATGCATTAACATGTATACTTTTATGCCCCCGTTTTCTTTGGTCCATACAATCACTTCTTAGTGGAGCTTTGGAAGCGCGAGACTATCTTATTTGGACGGCTTGGAATGTACTTTCTTCCATGTGCACACCACACCAGTTACAAGAAAGAAGCAAAAAAAGCCAGGTTTGATTAAAGAAAAAGGGCGGCAGCTAGCTGGGTAAACTCTGGAAGATCCCACATCTACTTTAGGCAAGGGGTGGTGAGTGAACTGGTGATCACCACATCCAAGATAACACAAATTGCAAAAAAATCCCTCCATCCAGGGCAAACCCAATTATCGAGGAAAAAGGGTTTATACCAACCAAGCTTTACAATGGTTTGGCTCGATGCATGTTTTGTAAGAATACTATTAGCAGGTGCTTGACTTAGCAAGATATATAGTTTGCGCATGCCCTTAATCATCATGCTCCTAGGATCTAGTTGGCGAGCGTATTGCAATTTAGCTCAGGAAAATAATTATAGGAATGAAAAAACTTCAAACTACATAAATTGAGTTCAAATTTTGAAAATAGAGGCATCCTATTCCTAATTCCTAAGACTACAAAATGGAGGTTTTGTCTGCGGTCTTACTCTCAGCCAGCAATTGGCCCGAACTAGAGAAACTACTAGGCCCGCATTTTCCAGACCCGAGCTGCGGAAGTTGGCCTTCTGTCTTTGGGCTTCCCAGCCCAGGATTTCGGGAACTCAGAATAATGACTAAACCGGAACGGCCTGTTAGAATGGATCCCACTTGCGGCATACGTTAGTACGGGCAGCAACCGCAGTGGGCCCTGCAGGAGCTGCTAAGCCAATACCGTGCGTGCGAGCCCCTCCCAGGCCCCAGCTCTCCCACTGCCAGAATTTTCCCTCCTCTCTTCCTCCGTCAAAAAACAAATAATAATCCCGCTTGCCCGGCAAATCAGCAAATCTTGGAGAAGGGGTTAGCCAGGCCTCCCCGGCAGCTTAAATAAAACCCTAGTCCACAAATCGATCTCCGGCGGGCAAAGTCGAGTAACCGAGAGAAGTAGGGTTTCAAGAATTCCGATTAGAACTCGTCGGAGGTTTCGGGGAATCAGCTGGGGGCGGCGGCCATGGGGATTATCAGGAGCGGGTTCAATCTCATGCTCGGTACGTTCTTCGGTATCTACATAGCTCAGAACTATAACGTCCCTAACATACACAAGATGGCCAACGCCGGGGTGGCCATCGCCAAAAGCATCGAGGAATCGTACAGGAAGCCGAAGAAGAGAGACGTGGAGGATTGAATTTGATTCTCTTTTCCTTTTAGGTCCGGTGTTGTTTCCTTGTTACGTCTTCGATTTGGCGATGCCAATTTTTGTCAGGGGATTGTTTAGGTCCTTTTTCCCCCTTGTTAAACCTTTGTTTCTTATTTGCTTCAAAATCGAACTTTGTCAATGGAAATCAGGGTGAATAAATGGAATTACTTTGCTCTCTTTGCGGAATTTTCAGTTCTACTTCAGGAGTCTCTTTATGCTGTTCATTACTCCAATGGCTATTTTGGATGTACAGAAGCTTCTTCCTTGTGTTTTGTTAAGCTTGAGTTGCGCTTCAAGAATCACAATGCTGGTATTATAGCAGATTCTGCTGCAAATTTGAATGCTACCAGCTTATGGAGTTAGAAGCAAGCCATGTATGCTATCATTGTATACCGAAGTTTCTTTCGGTTGTTAATCATGAATTTTCATGCCATTATATTGCAAAAGGAACAAAGTCGGAAACATTTAACATTTGCTGAGTGCAGAGAATGTGTTGTCGGCTGGTTATTAGTGCTAATGTGGACTTGTCTTCGCTTATACTACTATCCGCAGATTGCTGTTCCTATAAGTTTATGATTGTCGACTGATTCACTTTCAAGGAGAACAACTCAGTTTCTTAATTGCTGTGAGACAGTCAAATATATTGGGTGAAGAGTGTGTGAGTGGACGTAAGTTATGCTTTAGTAAGCAGAAGCTCATTGGAGTGCTTCACCTCTTCCATTTGCTTCTAATTCTCTGTGTTATGCTTTAGTGCTGAATGGCTGTTTGTGCCAAATTCTGTGAAAAGGACACAAGCCTATGAGTGCTTTGATTTTCTTGGCTAATCCATTCACTTGCTAGCTTATAGCTAATCAACTAGGTTGATAATCCATAGTCTATGGTCTTTGGCAAATTGACATTATTGTCTATGATACACAGTAGCTAAAATAAAGTTATAACCTCTGAATGACTTGTCTGTGCAAAGAGTTAGCTGTAGTAAAGTAGTTGAAGCCTTTCACTTATATTCCATAACAACAGATGAAAATCTTATTACAAGATAACATATCCTGTATTAGCTGCGTAGGGTGCACTGTATTTCAGCTGATGTTTAGGTACTTCTCTCCTGCATTGATTGAAGCTGTATCAGCCATTGTTGGATGAGGAGCTATTGCCAGAGGTTTGATCGCTTTGTGCAATGAACGCCAGTCCGCAATGGTTGTGATTTTGTCGGAGTACACAATGGATAGTGAACTTTGGTCAAGAAGTTTCACTATCTCTACCATCTGGCCAAGGATGTAGACTGCTTCCCTGACACTGCCTTTTCTCTCTTCAATTGTGGTCTTTAAACACTTGCTGAATATGAATGGTCTCAAGTTAGTGAGACAAGCTGCCAATAGATCGGAGATGAGCACAACAAGTGATGGAAATAAGCTCTCCCCTGGAGCCATGTTGTAGTGCTGATAGTTTTTCAGAATGGTGCTGCTTATTCTATACATGGAATTAGCTGCCAATGCCTCGGCGTGCCATTCTGAAGGGTTGATCCTTGGGCATTCAGTTGGATATGCATTCTTAAACTCTGCAAGCCTGCTCTTTCCACCTTCAACGAGCAGTTCGAGTACTTCTCTTGTGCTTTTCGATTTCAAGGATAGTTTATGAAGATCCACATCCAGCCATTTGTGGTATATGTCGACACCCGACCACACTTTAAATGCTGCTCTTCTTGTGTTACTCAGCTCTTCTTTCCCATCCAAATGTTCTTCTATGAGTTTGACATACACGAGCCCCTCATGTACACTGCACAACAACTGTTTGATCGAACAACTACTTATATTTGGGAGTGAAATTGCAATGGCTGTTAAAGTAACTATAGGAAGAGACCAAGGTTGTGGAGGCTCTTCACAATCCAGGATGCAAACTTGGTCGCAGTCGAATTCTCTTACTCCCTTGAATCCTTCTGCAAAGGTTGCCTTTTTCAACAGGTCAGTGAGATGTTTTGGCTGTTTCTTTTCCCCCTCCCGCATCCAGTTATCTGTGGCAGTACAATTCTTCCTCATTGTCACTTCCACAAGTTCTTCCTCACCTTCAAAATGCAAAACGAAGCGGCTTAGATCTAAGTTTTTGGTCTCCATGCTCTGATCAGCTGAAATGCTTTCACTTGGTAGCAGCTTCTTCAACTTGCTGCACGAATCACAGACCTTCACAATTATGCATGCACAGAAGATGGAAATGAATTGAATCAATTTGCATCCCATTACTATTCCAATTTGCGCTCGAATAATAGTGTCCAAGCAACTGCGCTTTGCTTCATGTGCAAGTTTTCGGAGTTGCTGGCTTTCGATGCGTATGAATGGACACTCTTTGATCTCTACTAGACACTGAATCCAGTACTTCTCCACTTTGAAACATATTCCTGTACAGTTTATCTTCCGGTTTCTTGGCAACCTGTATAACACTGAAGTGAACCACCTGACTGCTGGTGCCACACTACCAACCCCAACTGCTAAAGCCTGTGCGACGAGGACTAAAGTCGTTGACCATTGGTAGTCAGACTCCCCTGCACAAAATTTGAAGGATCCTGGCATGAAAAATGACCTCAGCATTGCCTCTGCAAGAACTGTGGTGCCAAGGAGACACAGTGCACCTGAGGCAGCACAAGTAACTGAACGCCCCATTACAAATTGAGGGTTGCTGGTGTGTGCCATTATCCAGAACTTCATCAGGTCTTCTTTCAACTCCTCTGGCGTTCTTCTATTCATATCCTTCGACCCCTCTTGCATAGCCATGTCACATTTCTTCTTGTACATGAACTCTAACTCTGTCTTGGTTGTTGCCACAGCTAAAGCAGATGAGCCCAAGATTAAGAGCATCACAAGCATAAGAGACATCACGCCAACATGCTCCCACCAGCAAACATAGATCACCTCAGTGCCCAATTGGATCGCTATGTTGACTAAAACAGTGACCACCAGTATTGCAAAAGCCATGATATTCATCATGATTTCCTTGTTCTGCACCGTTCCTAGCGAAGGCATCGAGTTTGCAATTACCACGCAGACCAACACACCACTGCTGAGTTTGGAGAGCTGGTCAATTCGGCTGGGCATGGGGGTGTTGAGATCCACTGAGAGCTTGACCGCCACTGCTACGACGGTCAATGAAGTTGCGTTAATGGAGAAGAACTTATTAGGGAACCAGAATTTCTTGTGACGGCAGCTGTGGATGAAATCTGCAGCCATGGCAATTGCACAGGCTAGAGATGCTGCTGCTACATAGAGTCCAATCCATGGCAGAGGCTGAGTGTACTTTTCTTCATTCAGGTCCCCGTCAGCACTGCAACCCACCATTCTAAGCAACGAAGTATCTACTGGGTCAGTTTTCTAAAGCTTATGGGAAGACAAAGGTATGAGCTTTTTGAGGGTAAGGTCACTATAGATTAGCAAGATGAAAGCTATTCTCGGGTGAAGCTGGTAAAAAGGTTTGATTGCCTTATCATATATCAGTCCAGAGATTGAAAATTTGTTTGGTTTGGACATAAAAGTCGAAGGCAGAGGTGTCCTGGTGAGTGGTGATGGTGACTAGGTTGTCTAAGGTTTTTCTTTTCTTTTTCTCCTTTCTTTTATAATGTCTAAGGTCTTACTAGAAATGAATGGTGCTGCAGTCTGCAGACTGCAGAAGACTTGGAGCAGGGAGTGGTTCGTGGAATTATACAAGTTTGACTAGTAAACTGGAGAAATATTAGATGGAAGACAACAGAATTCATATCAGCTGGAAAGCAGATAGATTCTAGTGTGTTCTTTCTCGTGCAAAGTCTTTACGATTGATTCTTCACTCTTCTATTTGACAGGTAGGTTCGGATTGCCTGCCAATTTCTCGCCGGTTTGGTGACTTTAGAGAAGTTCGATGGCCAATTCGTCCAGGGTACAAAAATTTGATGGTGCAAGGGTCTATATTTTACGGTCTCCTTAAACGCCAGCGTTTGGCACTAATACACAAGGTCGGCTTTGTAGCTGCTTCCCTCCCGGCATAGCATAAGCACCGATTCTGACATCAGCTTGCTCCACGAACGAATCCAGTACCGGCGCTGGTTCCGGCAGCCAGGTTAAAAAATGACGACGAGATCGAATTTCTACAAGAATTCTTCAATCTCATACAAGAAGGATTTGAGCGTCTCTTCTGTGATTCAGAACCTCAAAGGTAAAATTCTTCCCACGTTTCTGCACTTTCTGTTTGGATGGCTCGGAATAGCTATTATGAGAAAACCTTAAATCGAAAAGAATCAATCGAGAAGGCAGACAGCTCAAACTTCTTACAATTTTTTATTGGACTGTTCCTTGAGCCCTGTGTAGCTTATAACGTTGCAACCGGAAATGTTCCCGTGACCGATGACCAACCGCGCACCGGCGAGGGAAAGGAGGGTCGGGAAAAGCGAAAAGTTCGCGCCGAAAAACCTCCTCGACCTAGCAAGCGCCGGGAAGTTGAGGAGGATGATGATCGGCCGATGTCTCACCAGGATTACGTCAATAAAATCAGGTAAGATTGACTTCAGAAGTTAATTCCGCTTGTTTTGATTTGAATGAGTGCTAATTGATTGGACTCGTCTTCAAACAGGAAAGAAGCCAGCTCATCTCAGCCTTATGAATCACTGAGTGCTGATGTTTTGGTAACTTTGGAGTTCAAATGTTGGAATCAATTGATGAGCTGGGATGGTTTCATATTGTTTCTTCATGGTTGTTACTGTGGCAGGAGAATTCGAAATCGGTGTTGAATTTGGTGGCCTATGGAAGTAAGCAACCTGGGGTTTTACATTTGTTTGATCCTTTCCTTTGTTCGTTGTATCAAGTGTGTTTCCAGTCAAGTGCTGTATCAATGAATGTGATTCGAAATGTTTCATTCTCTGACCTTATTCCCATTAGGCGATGAAAGCAGTTCTTCAGAATCTGAAGTGGAGGGTACTTCACAGACTGGTTTGTGCCTTCCTTTAAACGATTTGTTTCAACTATTGTTTTGGTTTCTTGATGTACGACATTTCAAGTTACTTGGCTGGGTAAATTTGTGTTCCAATTAACTTGAATAGAACTCTCATTTTATTGATTCCCAGACTGACCGAGCAGGAACTGGTTATGGTTATTGTCGAAATCTAGAAGTTTTAAGCAGGCCAGGCGTTCAATACTACATTTATGCCACTTCTCTACTCTAATTTCCTTTTTCTGTGTACTGTATAGATCAGACAAATGAAGTTGACCAAATCAAGACAAGAGACGAACAGCGGTTTCCACTTGCTGGAGAACCGTTCTGTGTGGTATGCGGTAAATATGGGGAGTACATCTGCGACGAGGTGAAGTGTTTGCCTCATGCTTCTTCTCTTTATTGCTCTGCATATGTGGTCTTGTTCCTCGTGCTGTAATTCTTGAACTTTCCATATCTTTCTTGATAGACAGATGATGATATATGTAGTCTGGAATGCAAGGCTGAGCTTATACGGAGGCTACAATGTGCTAAGGTGCTTTTGAAATAATATTTACAGTGCATATTAAAGATGTTTGCTGGCATTTTCTCTGATATGATGTCTGTGGTTTCAGAGAGCACAAAGCAACATTAACAGTGATGTCTCCCCATCTAAACTCCAAGGTGTACAAGTAATGCCTGAGTTTAGGGATGGCACTTGGGACTACAAACAGAACTGCTGGTCCAAACAGAGATCAAATCTTTGTACCTATGAATGGTATGCTTTCCTTCTGACATAAAGATCTCAAATATCGCCTCTGAAGTTGAGTACTTCAAATATATTGCTACACACGTTACCCATAATGCTAAATCAGTAGTATCAGTTGAAATGTGGTATTGATTTCCAACTGGCGAGTGGATAACTCAGAATAAACTCTTCTCCTATCTTCCTGGGTGTCACTTTATTGATGCTCTCATGACCAACGTGCACTGCAGCTGGAAATGCCATAAACCTGGGCACCTTGCAGAAGACTGTTTGGCAGAATCAGAGGACCAGGTTAGGCATTCTGCTCTGCCCAGAATTAATAAAATTATAAATTTCGCTCTATTGTGAAGTAAAGGTGGACTAGCAGACTGATTTCACTTATCAAAGTAAGCAACATGCAGGATTTAGCTAGGAGATCGAATTCCATATCTAAGGATCTCCGTGGACTTTACAGAAGGTATCTAAAATGTTATTCTCTGCCTTCTTATCTTATGCTGTTCCGTTCTATCTGCTTGACATTTGTTTATTAAGTGTATTGCTGAAAGTTGTTAGTAAGAATGCAGTTAAGTTTCTGAAGGTAGTAATTATTTTGTGAGATAGATAGGATAGCAATGGATATGTCATGTTGAGATCATGTCCTCCCACAGTGCTGGTGTCTTGACATGCAAGCTATGGGGCTAAGCCCTATTTGCATGGTGTCTCTAGCATGGTTCGTTTTGTCTGCATTGGTTTGTTTTTATGTTAATACGCATTAAACCTTACCACTCTTCATCTGGACCATTCTGTAACAAAATAAACTTGCAGAACTTCGTATTTTTCCTTAAGTGTTCACTGGCAGCTTGACTAGTTAGCCTAAGAAAAGGAAATTGCTTTTGTCTTATGTCTTCATGTTTGAGGAATTCACATGAATCGTGTCTGGCCATGTTGTGCTGTCTTTACGTCCGCAGATGCCATCAGATGGGTGACAAATTATCTGGAGCAAACTGCAGCTCATGCCGCAGCTCTTTAAGCTTAGCTACTTGTCTGGATTGCAATGCTTTCTTTTGTGATGAGTAAGTACCATGTTTATATGATTGTTCGGCTGCAGCTATTTTCCCCCCTCCCTTCTAATGGCATCCACCATCTTTCATTAATCCCTCTACTCTAATTCTTGATCCATTGCTTCCCATCAACATGCTAGATGTTAATTGATTTTAAATGCTGGAATATTAACATGGTTATACAACTTAGCTGGTGAAGGTCTAAGTAATTGTTTGGTTCCCACTCTTAGGTTGTACTATTTGGATATTCTTGGCATTGTTTATTGGTCAAGTCCTTGACATTTTGATCCATAGTTTGTATGAGTAGCTCTACTCTTTGATGCTGCTTTGCTTCTGCGCCTATAGATTTGGTCATCTGTTGTAGAGGGGATATGTTGAAACACCATCTCTTTGCTAGATTTGCTTACAGGCAATCTGATCTTCAGTGCAGGACACTTAAATGAGCATATCAGGACGCACCTATCCCATCAGCAATATTACTCCCATAAACTTAAACGACTTGTAAGTTTTCTCGATGGACAGATGAATCTACTAATCGAATGAATCAACACTTTGTGAATGTTTGAGAAGCACTTTTCTTGTTTATTGTATTTACTTATTTCTGCATAGTGGAGTACAACTTAGCTGTTATGGTTCAACATGTACTAATGCAGGTGAAATGCTGCAAATCAACATGCAAGGTGACTAAGATGAGGGATCTTTTGGTTTGCCAGTTCTGCTTTGACAAAGCTTTCGACAAGTTCTATGATATGTATACCGCAAGTTGGTATGAAACGTCTCTCACTGATCCCCCCTTCCCTTTTCCCAGACTTGATACTGATTACATTATATATATATGGCAAGTGCAGGAAACCTACTGGACTTTCAATCATCTCGGGTTCTATTTGTTGCGAAGATCACTTTGAATGGTAAGCCTCTATGTACATCTTCGATACTCTTTGTCCTTCGTATTCGTGGATGCCTCATCCGTCAAGGTGAGCTTGGTTGCTTTGATTTGGCCAGGCATAGAATGAATTGCTTGAATGCAGACCTTGAAGAGAAGGCATATATTCTATCCAGAAGTCCACAGAAGGGCAAGTCCGTTCAACTAAGCGACTTCATTTTTTGAGAAGCAAAAATTACTTCCCTGAAATTGTCCTTGCCTTTCCGTACGCAACTGGTGAGTGCGAGTGTATCATTGGAAACAAAAAGTTAGGAAGACAAGATCGAACAAAAATTTGGTATCTCTAATTAATAATTCTACTATGTTTCAAAATTTTGGCATCTCTAATAAATTGAATTGCTTGCTGGCCTCTTTCCTCCCTCCTCTTTGTGAAATGGCGCCCAACGTGTCAACTTTCTCCATTTCTCGAGCTATGCATGTCAAAGTTCAAACATGCAGTTGCTCAAAGCTGTTTTGTATTATCATGAACCTATATAAGATTTAAGACTATGTATATTCAAGTAAATATTTTATTTTTATACTAGCTACTACAAATATTACGAATTAACAAAAAAAAAAACATTTTGTGAGAAATAATAGGGGAGAAAGACATTTTCGAAAAAAAAGAAGGAATAAATAGCACTTTTATAAACGGTGTGAGGGATCCTCAAAAAGAAGTGAAAACGGTTGAAGACGAAAAGTACAGAGAAGCAAGGAAGGCTGGTGTAGACACCACTTTTTGTCCAGGTTAAAACATATTTAATCAATTAAAATTTAGATTCAGTTTAAGGTTTGCTATAGCAAACCTTGAATGACCTTCAAGCTTAAACATACTTGTAATGCTTGGGTTGAGTCCAGTTTGCAATTAGTCAATAAGATTAGCAATAACAAATCTCAGTTGGTACGACCTATTAGTGACGGAGTTGACGTGTTTAGACGAATTAGACTTGAGTTCGATTTTGGTTGTCATGCAAGTGACCAATTCTTAAAACATTGGGTCTTGTGAAATTGGGTGCAATTTCTAAATAATAAAATAAAACTCATATAAATTATATTAAGATAAATACAATACTAAATAACTAAATCATGATTACAATGCATAACAATTACAACCAATTCCCCTGCTAATTTGTTATTACATTAAACTAATTACAATTGTACAACAAAAGAAATTATAATTATATAATAAAAAAATCGGGCTCAAGTCCAAGCCCAAGCAGCAGTCAACTCTTGTCAATGCAAGTCAACCGGCCAGCCCAAGGTTGAATCAAGGCCCAATCAGGTCAACCAAACACAAATCAAGTCCAAAGTCAGGTCCAAGGTCAACAACAGTCCAAGCACAAGGTCATTTTATGAACAAGCCTACTAATCAACTCGGTTCGACTAGAAAACAACACGGTTTGGTCCAACCAAAATTACCCGACCCGTCAACTTTGGCTATAAAAGAAGCCCCTTGGCTCTGCTTTCGGACAAACACAACAGATAAGGGTAAGCTGATCAAAATATCTTCTTCTTCTTCCTCCTTTTTTTCTTTCCTTCCTACAATAAACAGACAGTTCCAAAGAGAGAGAACATTGAAAAGATAGCATTCCTCTCTTTTTCCTCTTTCCTTTAACCAACAGATTCTAGAAAGAAATGGTGAGGAAACCTTTTACTTTTTTCTTTTCCTTTTCCTTACAAACGACATAGAGAAATAGAAACAAGAAAAGACAGTAAAAGCAAGTTCTGAGGTGGGGCACATGTCAGAAGTAGACAACAAAGAGAAGGCGCTAACACCAACACCAATCATCATATCCATACATCTAGGGCTGCAAATGAGCCAAGCCGCTCGCGAGCAACTCGGCGTTCGAATCGGAAAAAACTCGTTCGACACTCGACTCGTTGTTTAACAAGCCGGCTCGCGAGCTGGCTCGTTAGTAAACGAGCCAAGCTTGAGCTAGGCCATGCTCGACTTGATAAGCTCGTGAGCTAGCTTGACTCGGTGGCTTGTTGAGCTAAGCTCGCGAGCTGGCTTGTTTAAAGCTTGTGAAAGGATTAATTACTTTTCTGAACATGAAAATTATGTTTGTTTAAAGCTTGTGAAAGGATTAATTACTTTTCTGAACATGAAAATTATCTTGTTAATAAGGATGTGTATGGAAGTTAGATGTTATTTTTAATTTTTAGTGTTGTTTTTATCATTTTTAATTTCTAATGTTCTTATTTGTACACATTTTTCAGCAAGAATGGTTTCAAATCGAGCTTATCTTGAGCCGAGCTTGTACTCAGCTTGACAAGCTGTGTTAATGAGCATTTACCGAGCTTTATCGAGCCGAGCTCGAGCTAGATTATTTTTAATCGAGTCAAGCTCGAGCTCGAGCTGGATGATAAAAATTCGAGTTCGAGCCGAGCTCGAGCTAAAAAATTTATAAACGAGCCGAGCTCAAGCTAAGCAAAAACTCGACTCGGCTCGTTTGCAGCCCTACTGATACATCCATTCTTCTACCTTTATAAAAAAAAGCTCTCGAGAAACACTCAATCGACTCAAAGACTCCCTACAATAAGACAACTTCACTCACCATGATAAATATTTTGTCAACACAAGCCTACAAAAATCAGATTTAGTGTTTCTCTAATCAGTTTCATCATCCATGTATTCTCATTAAGACTTTGACTATTTTCCTTGTGATGCCCTGTTTGATTAAGCTTTACTGAGTTTGTTTCATATCCGGTATGATTTTTAACATCTCAACTTATCAGAACATAGATATTAAAATGGTAGCAAGCAAGCCAATAAATAGAAACATTCCACATAAACTCAAGCTTAGGGAGGTATTTTAGAATGCCTCTTTGGTTTTAAAGGGAGCCCCTTCTAATCTTAAAACCTACTTTACCAAAACCATAAACACTCACTAAAGTCTACAACATTCAAACCTATACCACGACAATACAATATAAGACTTCTTAATCACAAGAAATAGCAGTGGTTTTTCATTTAACATGTAACTTCTATACTTTTGATTTCCTTTGTTTTAACCATGTTTAGGAAACCTTAAAAGAAACTTTCTGTTTGGAGGGTTCAAAACCATTATAACCAATCAAGTTTTCCCCTAACTAACAAAACAGAGTCATACAAGTTGAATCTGGGTTTAAAAGGAGCTTCACTCTTAATCCGAATCTCCACCATTAGAACTACCATAAACCCACAAATTTCCACATCAAAATCCATAAAGCCATCAAGCTAATACCAAATTTTCTTGAGTTACACATATTTCGAACGGTAAACCACCATAATCATTTTCAAATCAATTGAACATCTCAAACCCGGTTAGCAAACAGAGCCAGAAATAAAGATTACCAAAACAAACTCACCCTTTTGTCATTGTTGTCGGGGCCGGCGAAATATAGATTTTCCGACGGCGGCCATTTATCCCCTCACTTGTCTGCCTCTCTTTCCCTTGCCATCAATCAGACCGACAAAGAAAAACAAAATAAATAATAAGAATATTAAAGAGCAAGAATGCCAAATTTTTTTTCCATGAAAACCAGAATAAAAAAATCTTACCCTTCTGTCGTCGACGAGGGAGTCGCCGCCGGTCCCACGCACCACCTCTCCTCACCGTCGTCGATGTTCCCCTGATTTCCGGAACTCCTTCTATAGCCGCCGCCGACAACCTCTTTCTCTTCCCTTTTTGACCGTATCTCAAAAAACCAGAAATCAGAAAAGAAACATATATAAGACACTTGCTCAAAGTCGAAATTGAACCTCCAAGCTTGACATGCAAACCCATAATCTAGATCTTACCTTCGTCTGCCTGTCACCGTCGCCGGCGTCAGGAACTGTCGGTCTTACCATCGTCGTCGTTTGTTCTTTCTCAGCTTGTTGTCGTTATCACAAAGAAGAGATTGGTGGGGGGGGGGGGGGGGGGGGGGGAGCAGATCGAAAGGGGTCAAAGGGTAGAAAAAGGTAAACGAGGGTAGAGGGAAGGAGGTAGGAGGAGAATCGTGACCACCGTCGGGTTATTGTACTCTAACCACCGTTGCCGGCATCGAGTTTTTCCTTTTTTGTCGATCTTTTTTTTTTTTTTGCTGGAGAGAAGAGAGCGAGAGCGAAGAGAGGGGATGATCGGCTCTTAGGTTATTACGCCAACTGCCACCTTCCCCCTTTAAACGACCCAAACAAACCCTCAAAACGACCTGGACGTCTCTTCTAAGTTTCGAACCATTGACCTTAAAGTCGTCATAAATTTCAGTCAACATTCTAAACCATTAGGCTGATCGCCTGCCACTTGTTCACGTAATAATGTGAATCGATCTATATTTATAAATTTGTATACTAAACTTTTTAAAACTCCTTAATACAAAATGTCGATGGTCAATATACCATATTAGCATTTTCGTGTTAAGTTTCTTCTAAAGTCTCAAGCTGGATTTCCAAAGGATCGAAATTTGATCCATCATTTTAAAATCTCAAGCCTTAAACACGATCAATAGAATGTGTTGGGTTTTCCTCTTAAAAACCAATCACTTAACAGTACTACGTGGACTTTGATCCCGACTACTCGGGTACGTAGGTAACCAATAGGTTCGAGTCCAACTAACCAAAACTTTTTTCCCCACACTTAACCGTACTCCCGAACCCAAAACTCTAAAATTTCGCAGACCAAATCTCGGTTTTGACCCTAAGGTCAAAGTCGGGCCAAATAGTCTTCGACCCACTACAATGTAAGGTCGATTTCGAGGGGCGGTTGCGATAGCTGGCATGGAGGGAGTAAAATCTGAAAATTCTTTAATGTTTTAAGATTAAGATTAAGATTAAGATTTCGTTGAATGACTGATTAGTAATTTTTTCAGTTGGTTGAATTACATTTTTGTTAGCAGAAGTAATCTCAACAAAGCAATAAACGCAACCAAACTAATCTTTTTTTTTTGGTTCAAGTAACCTCCTCCTTCACTCATCCTGTGTTGCCTCCTCCTAGTCCTCTTCAGTTATAAAAAGTTTGGCTGTGTGTGCCTTTGAGTTGGGAGCCCAGGACCGGGACTATAAATATGTTGGGTGAGTTCATAAGTGAGAACAAGAAGCAAGGAGGAGAAGGAATAAAGAACCAGAAAGAAAACGTAAGATGTCTTGATTAATCCTTTGTCTTTGATTCAGTTTCTTTCTTTTTCTTAATTCTATTTCATCCATTCGTATGTTCTTCGTTCCAATTCAAAATTCAATTATCTTTATACAAAAAATTCCGATTTTATATCATCTTTGCAATTATATCCATTTTAATGTATCTTCAAACAAAAAAAATATTCTACTAAAATATGGTCAAGGTCGCATGCCAAGTCACTATGCCACGATATTTCAGAATGATACTTACTTGCCTACATGGTATCTGTTTTGCATGACCATGATATATGTTTATGTCACGATCGAATAATTAAATACCATCATGATACATAATATATCCATGTCCGTGGGGGAAATAGTTTGTCGT